TCCCTAGGCTTCTCAAAAAAGATTATATCATATTACGAAGAGTATTAAATGCTGTGAGTAGAGCTTGTGGTATGCCACTGAGTGAGCTCGCCACGCCAGTTTTATAGTCAAGAGACATATGAAATCCTGTACAAAATGAGAAGAAGCCGTACTGTCAGATCCCCTGCATTTACCCCATCCCATCCGCTTTATTCACAACTATCTCCTTGCATCTATCTCATCAGGTAGGACGAGAAGTCAATCTGCGATGAAGTTATATGCTCGAACCGCCAAGTACAAAAATTCTACAATACCCTCCCTATTTAGCCCGTATTTTTGATGTGATGGAGACACTTAACTGTTAGACGTGAAACATACAAGAAGTTACTATGTTATTAGGAAAATGAATCGACTCTTTCGTCCTTCGTTCGTTCATCTTTCTGTAATTAATTTTATGGTGTCACCCTTTCTGTCGTTTAATTCATAACTAAGCTATTTTATTTCAGTTGTTATTACTATTATTACTACAATTTTATACTTTATGCATATAATTTTTCTCCTTATCACATCCTGTAATTGCTACACATAGCTGCTATAAGAACGTTTTGTTAGTAATAGTACGTAATGTTTATTTTATGTCGTTTTGAGTAAATTAGATGCAATATTGTAGTGAATGCTGAAAATTCCTTGCTAGATCATTAAAACTGTTTTTGGAATAAAGCAAATTATTATTATTATTATTGTTATAACCCTTTAGAAATATCGAAGTGGTACTCATTCAAAGTGTGATTAATTTTTGGGGATATACCATACTGTGTGTGTGTTTCATGTACTACTGACAAGACTTAAAAGTAGTGCATAAATGCAGATTAATGATGATGATGATGGTGATGACTGAAATCAAAAATTTCAAGTCAATGATGACTGCAGAGACAGAAGCGTTTATTCTGCAAATCTGGATCTAGTTTGCTGTGTGGATATGAAATAGCCTCTTTGAATGACTTTTCGTCGTCTTGTTTAAATTTGGGTAAAGAGAGAGAAGACATTCAGCGAAGAGGCTCCTCTTTCCGACGGCGAATTCATTCACATAACCAGCTGTACAATCGCATTTATATATACAATTATTTGTATGTGTGTGGGTGTACATGAGGTTTGTCAAGTTTAGACAATTGATCAGGTAATACAAGAATGATCTAATATAGTAACAAGGACCTTGGCGGCCTGCTTAAATCTTGGGCTACCAATTACCTTAAACATTACAAATCATATTGCATCTAATTTCTCATTTCTAATTGATATTTTAATCAATAAATCTTATTCAAATATGACCTCAAATCGGATTATTTATTCTCGTGAATATCTAATATCTTTAAAACCTACTGATCTGCAACTCCATAAAAAAGACAAGAAAAAGCATCATGCCGGCTGGCAGAGAGCATTAAAAAATACCCCTATTCAATTCATGACTGTTCCCGCAATTATGAGTACCAATTGTCGCTCCCTGCCGGCTAAAATTAACTGTCTTCAATCGCTGGTGTCTTCCATTATATATCATAATACTGGGATCATATCACTTCAAGAAACATGGCTTCATGATCTATATGATGACAATCTAGTGTATCTAAATAATTTCAAACTATTCAGACAAGATCGGTGTAGTTCCAGGAAGAAACGCGGTGGCGGTGTCGCCATCTTCATCAATTCACAATGGTGTACGTCTAATAATGTATGTTTCAAATTCTCTAGTGACAATATTGACTGTCTCACCGTTAAGTGTCGACCTAAACATTTGTCAAAATACAACTACATTTACATCTCGAACATGTATATTGCTCCTGGATGCAACTCCACAGAATTATCTTTATTTGCGGATGAATTTACTTCCCTTGCTGCCACCTCCTTCGGAAATTCCTTGTCTATAGTTACTGGTGATTTTAATTCTAGTGACCACAGCTTCCTAATTTCACTTGGACACGATAATATTGTCAACTTCCCGACTAGAATGGACAACACTCTTGACCTTGTTTTACAAACGATGCAGGAATATTTGAAGCTCGAAAAAGAGCCCCACTACTAAATTCAGATCACTGTATCATAAGAATATTGCCCAAAGTATATGGAAAGCAGCACAAAAGGGTCTTCTCATACCTTGGAAAGAAAACACAACACAGATGTTATTCCCATGACAACATACTGAACCTAAGGTCCATGTTAAAAGACACAAACTGGGATCTATTTACTGAACAAGCTCTTGATAACACAATTGCCAACATAACACATTATCTTAATTTCTGTCTTGATGTTTGTTGTCCAAAAGAGACAATCTTCTTAAAATTCGATCGCTTCTCCTCTTCTCAACTCAAAAAGCTCCGCCGTGAAAAAGAAAGGTTGTTCAAAATGAAAAACAAATCTGGTGTTAAGAGAATGAACACTTTGATTAAGCTTGAATTACAAAGATTGAATGCTCTCTATAACCAGAAGTTTCTTTCATGTAAATCCCCATCAAATATGTGGAAGTTATTAAAGGAAATCACAGGTGGTAAGCAAATGTTGAATGATATTTCTGTAGATGTTAACATGCTTAATGAATCCTTCATATGTATCCCAGCAAATGTTATGATTCCTAACTCAAATAGTGTAAACAATGACTGCTTCTCATGCTTTAACACGAATGATGTCCTCAAGTGTCTTCAATCTCTCAAGCCTACTCAGTCCCTCGGTCCTGATGGTGTTCCTGCTGTTATCCTTAAGAAGTGTGCCGACATCTTGTGTTCCCCGCTAACTGACATTTTCAACGAATCGTTTTCCAAAAGTATTATACCTGAATCATGGAAAAACATCAAGATCGTTCCAGTGCCTAAATCTACAAGTGGACCTAATGTTAAGTTTAGACCCATTTCAATTACCTCACCCTTTTTGAAAGTTATGGAAAGACTTATTTTACTTAATCTTGATCCCTCTTTAAAACCTTTCAACGACCCCAACCAGTTTGCTTATAAACATAGTAGGAGTACGTTAGATGCCGCTGTCGTCCTCCACCATAGCATAGTCTCTAGTTTAGATAAAGGAGCTAAATACGTTCGCTGTGCCTTCCTTGATTACACATCTGCATTTGACTCTGTTCCCAGGTCTCTCTTGCTAAGTAAGCTTGCTGCAACACAGGCTGAAAGCTGGACAAATAAGTGGTTGCATTCCTATTTTTCTGAAAGGAAGCAGTACACCGTCTACAATGGAAAATCCTCCACTACCTCACTTACTTTAGCTGGTGTTCCTCAAGGTGCTGTTCTTTCTCCCTTTCTGTTTTCGTTTTTCTTACATGACTTGCCTCATTCTGATGTAGCCACTTTTGTTAAGTATGCCGATGACCTCTCGGTTTCTATGCCTGTCAACTCTCAGTCAGATTGTTCCAAATTAAATAGCTTTCTGTCGGAAATTAGTCAGTGGTCCTCTTCAAACGGACTTAAGCTTAATCCGTCTAAATGTCAGGTAGTCAATTTCACTTTCAGACGTAAATGTGACCTACAGCAACTAGTTAGCTCACATGGCCCCACTCTCATTGACGGCACAGAGGTTGAAAATACATCTAATGTCAAGTACCTTGGGCTGAGTTTTTCCACCGATCTTTCCTGGTCTTCCCACATCTTGCTAGTTACTAGAAAGATGTTTCGCTTAACGTTCTACATTAGGAAATTTAGGCAGTCTGGCATAAAGCAGTCTTTACTTTCTCAGTTTGTAAATTCTTGTATTCTACCCATCCTCCTTTACTGCTCCCCATTAGTCTTTCCTGGACTACTTAAGAAAGACTTTGCTTCGCTGAGAAGGGCACTAAAAGCTGTTAGTAGGGCAAGTGGGATATCGTTAAACCAACTGGTGAACACTATTGTAGATAGACATATTATGTCATGTAAGAAACTAGCGAATACAATATTGTCGGACCCCGAGCATCCTCTCTATACGCATCTATCTCCTTGCATTTCATCTGGAAGAACTAGAAGCAGCTATAGGAGGCTATATGCTAGGACTACCAAATACAAAAACTCCACAATACCATATCTGGCACAGCTGTTATGTGATGAGAAATCCGTTAGGTATGACACGATAAACTTACTGCGGCACTCTAACAAATAGTCCCATTAGTTTTTGTTTTCCTTTCCTCGTTACTATTACACTGTTGTTCTCATCTTCTACCACACATCAACTTTATATTTCAAATCCTGTGATGCATTGTTTGAAATGAAATACTCTACGCTGTTTTTTCTTAATTTTTAATTTTTATTTATTTTATTTATTTATAACTTATTTATTTTATTTTTATTTATTTATCTTTGATTTTTAAAAATCTTATATAATTTATGAGGTAATTAGATGCAATATACTGTAATGCACGCTGAAAATTCCATACCTGTACCACAAATACTGTTTGGAATAAAGCTGTTATTATTATTAATTGTACAGCAACTAAAGTAAGATTGAGTTAGTAAGTTAGATGACGTAATATAATTGACTAAAATGTTTCAACTCAGGTCAGTGCAGCGACAAAGGTAATTACAGGTAGATTTGATAGTGTGAAATATTCCCATATCGCATGAATTAAAAGTCAATCTGAACGAAGAAGAATATTCTTTTCAATACATCCTTCTCCTATTCAGGTTCTTACAATTATAAATAAATTATTATATTTGTTGTCGTTACAATAATGATGGCCAGTTATCCGGTGGTGCCGGCGGATACATTTTTACTCAACGTAGAATAACAGATTAGCAGTGATGGGGTGTCAAAATGCATAGTCGTATTTGCGTGTGTGTGTGTGTGACAAACATGCTCTGGGCTGAAATCGATTTCAAAATATTTCGGTGAAATGGGACACAATGGTGGTGATGGTGATTAATCATAATAGATTTGTAGAGTGTGGGGTAGGAAAATTGACAAATCAGTTCAAGGTTATAAAAGGTGTCAGGTGAGTGAGTGGCTAGTACAAAGTCATCATAACGAAAGCCAACAAGGGAAACGTCACTGTGATAATGAACAGAACGGATTATGAAAAGAAGGCGATTGAACACCTATCTGAAGGACCATACTTACTCATTAATGAGAAGAAGAAATCCGCCAAATTCAACAAAATGAAACGAAATATAAACAGACTCTTTCAAGAAATGAAACCTAAAATTGGAAATTCTCTCTGGTTAACACTAAAACCAAATTCTCACATATCTTCAAGATTCTACGGTCAACCAAAGATACATAAACCTACAGTTCCATTAAGACCAGAAATAGATTTCACCAACTCACCGACATACAACCTTTCTAAATACTTACTCTCGATACTACAACCACCACAGAAGGATACTCAAAATATTGTAAGAAATTCATATGATTTCAAATCCCAAATAGAACACCGAGAAATTGATAAAGAAGACATTATGGTAAGCTATGATATTAACTCATTATATACGAGCGTCCCTAGTCTTGATAACATTTCAGGTCTACTAGAATCAGATACAACACTAACACAAAGATGTCCACTGGACGGACACCAGTGAAATAATAATTAAGAGCTTGAAATTCTGTCTAGAAAGTAATTATTTTACATTTCAATATCACGGAGTTTATATAGACAGACAAATGGTGTTTTGCTATGGATTCACTAGTCTCCTCAACAATCGCTGACCTTTTCGTGAATAGATTCTTCGAAGATGACATCTTTTCAAGTATTCTCACTCCTAAAATGTGGTCAAGATATGTGGTAGATGATAATTTTGTAGAGCTATGAAACGAGGTCTACACAATTCATTCCTGGAGAAAATAAACTGTGTATCTCCTAGAATCCAGTTCACTTCGGAAGCGGGCAGAATCAGATGTCGGTGAACTACCATTTCTAGACTGGCTGCCTAGTTAAGAGAAAGGAAAACGGACATTTTAGTATACCCATATTCAGGAAGAAAACCCACTCCAAGAAATATTTAGACTTCGGATGATCACACCCCATCAGCGCAAAGATTTCAGTTGTTTCAAGTCTTCTTAGACGAGCACCCTCCCTGATAACGGATGAGCAAGAAAAAGAAGAAGAAATATCAAACATTACTGAAACTCTCAAGCAAAACAACCACCCAAGGAACTTCATCAACAAAATCAACACAGACATTAAGTATGGCCAAAAATGCACTCCGAAAAGATGGACTTCTACAGTCGTCACTCCATATAGAGCGGAGACGTCAGACGATAGATATTAGAAGAGTACTCAATCAGCTCGACATTAGAGTTTTCTTCGAAACATCAGACACACTTCAAAGAAGCCTTGTCCATATAAAAGACCAAATCCCTAAAGATTCTCTATCTAATTGTGTCTATAAAATAAAATGCTCGGAATGTGATGCGATCTACATCGGACAAACATCTCGAGAAATCAAAATCAGGAGAAATGAACACCGTAGAGCATCTCTTCGACCACCAAGAAATCCAGTTGAACTAGAAAAACTTCAAAAATCAACAGCCATAGGTCTACATGCTATCGAACCAGGCCGCAAAAGTTGATTTTGACATTATTGAAATAATCCAGAAAAACTTCAGTAACCACAAAGAACGTCTAATATCAGAAGCACTTCATATCAAGTGGAATCCAAATTGTCTGCAGTGAATAGGAATGATGGACTAAAACAGAATCTGACATGGCTACAACACCCCCACCATCCTCCATGAAGTAGCGAAATCAACACAAATGTGATAAGCAAGTTCACTATGTAAACACACACTACTCTCATAATTCGACACACTCATAAAATCCAACAATCTACACTTGATTTTGTTATCTTTACCAATTCGTCAACTTGACAACCAAAAATGACCCCAGACTAACGAACGATGATCAAGTTAGTAAACTTTGTTTTGATATAATAACAGATATACTATTACCTTTGATATTTTGCTTGAGCGATCTTCATTGTTATTTCGACTTTCAATATGTCCTTTTAAGTTGAACTAAGTCTATTTTGAGAAAGCTATTAGCATTAAATAGCGAAACGTCAGTAAAAACAACATCGTTTTGTTTTTCATTCATTGGGAAATACAAAAAACTTTATTATTATGTAATGGTGATATTTGTTTTAATAAGCAAAGTAAAAAAACCAGGGGTTAAGGGGAGGAACACTCTTGGTGAGAAGAAAAATCTTCAATCCAAGGTTGGCCTCGGTAGGAACAGCATCTGGACGTGTTCTTATTTTTGGATACAAAGTTCCAGTTTAGTCGATCTAATCGCAACAGCTTCAGATATGTGTAGGAGACGTAAGCGAACTAACTGTACGTCATAACGACTTCGGAATTCTGTATATAACCCTGAAAGGTGTGTTGACATCGATGCGATGTCCAGTAGTCTCGACCAAGTGTGACAGGATCGAGTTTTATATGTACTTAATTTCTCCCCTGCTGAACCAATCTGGTAAATGTTTTCGAACCCGTAGAGGAACCTGCCTAATCGTGCGCCCTATATAACTTGAACGACAGGAACAGTTGAAATGGTTGGTATATGCATGAAGAAGAGCTAAGGTTAGGTATGACATCTTTGAGTTGCTGGGTGAATATTGGACGGCTAGTGAAGTATAGACACAGACGTGCAGAGTAGAAAGTTTTCTTGATGGCCCTGGTTAAACGTTGGGATAGTATCTCCGCAGGAGTCTCTCCCTTTAATCGGAGACGTAAAAACAAAGGCTTTTTCTCCACAGTTGCCAGTTCATGTTTACGACTATTGTAACTTGTGTTGGCTTCAATGAACTTCTCTGGATATCCGTTCTCGCTTAGAATGTCTCGAATGGCCTAGAGTTCTTTGTCTACGCAGTCTTCGGAACAAATAGACCTCGCTGTAAATGCTAACCACCTGATTAGATTACGTTTGTATTTCATAGGTACGAAGTTAAGGAAGTGTGTATACTGAACTTTGGTCTATAGCTTTCTAAATATGGCAGTGTTGATGGAACCATCCTCTCTTCTTGTTAGTAGGACGTCGAGGAAGTGTAGAGAGTCGTTGTATTCTCCTTCGAAGGTGAAATGGACCGCTGGGTGGGCGAGCATTACTGAAGTTGTTCAAAATCAAATCACTATTTAACCCTTTATCGTACACTACAAGAGTAACGACAATGTAACGACAATACATTTCGATTTTCGCTATTTCCTCTTTCAAAGGACTATTTTCTAGTTTGGCCTTGAACTGATTTGTCAATTTTCCTACCCCACACTCTACAAATCTATTATGATTAATCACCATCACCACCATTGTGTCCCATTTCACCGAAATATTTTGAAATCGATTTCAGCCCAGAGCATGTTTGTCACACACACACACACACGCAAATACGACTATGCATTTTGACACCCCATCACTGCTAATCTGTTATTCTACGTTGAGTAAAAATGTATCCGCCGGCACCACCGGATAACTGGCCATCATTATTGTAACGACAACAAATATAATAATTTATTTATAATTGTAAGAACCTGAATAGGAGAAGGATGTATTGAAAAGAATATTCTTCTTCGTTCAGATTGACTTTTAATTACATGTAGAGACTAGGCAGAGGTGGAGTAGAGAATTAAGCCATTTAAATTAGGACTAAAATTGAGCAAACAAGTTGGATGACGTAACATAAATGGCCAGAAATTGAGCGTTGGTCAAGCCAGTAACAGTCGTAGTGAGGTGCAGAAAGTAAATCGGGCGGGGGTAGAGAACAAGAAGGTTGAAAATGTAAAATATCCCAATTGGGAAGACAAAATAATACTAATGAGGAGACAGAAGAGAAAAGGATTAGGTAGAATTTACATTTCGGGTAATAAGATAGATTAAGTCCATCGCAAGTGTACTGAGTGATTGAACGAACTTCTTCTATATGCAGAGTTCAGGGCTTAGCAAGTGAATCGCCATTGCTTCTGCAGCTTGAAGAAGTCTGATTCGTACACTCCTTTAGGAAGACTACCTCTTACTCTCTGGACGGCGTTGAAGTTTGTTCGCGGTGTAGCTTGGCGTCCGGATTCCATCAGATTTCCTAAGATGGTGCTATGGGGGCATCGTTTTTCTCTTTTGTAAAACCATGTTGGTAAGTGCTCGGTGATACGTTTGGAAAGCGAACGCTGGGTACGGTCGACATACCTGGCTCCACACCAGCAGGTGAATTGATAAATACACATTGATGAGTTGGCCAGCAGTTGTATCTTATCCTTCACGTTCACATGAATCATGGATTTGTGGAGAAGGTTAGTCGTAGTTCAGCTACGAAGAAGGTTTTCGCTTAAGTGAGCTCGACAGTCAATTTTTCAGTGTTTCCGCAGATATATCTCGACTGAACTGAAGATTTATGTAGAGTTGTTTTTTTCGGGATGCTAAGCGTGAGCAACTTCAGCGATCTAGGATTCATAGATTTTGCAATAAATCTTTCTGGATAACGATTCTCGACGAGGATTCTCTTGAGATTGTCCAGTTCATCTTCTATGATGTACGGAGTGCAAATTCTGCGAACTCTGTAGCTGAGCGAACGGATCAGGATTCGTTTGGTGCATAGGGGTATCCAACTGTGAAAATTAGTAAATATGTCCTTTCCACGTCGACTTTCTGTAGATAGATAGATTGATCTTTTTAGTGTTCCATCCTATTCTCGTCTTGTTAATTATTTGAATTTGGAGTTGGACAGTTTCTCCAGCGTGAACTGAATCACGGGATGGCAGTTGTTAAACAACTTCAAGATGTCGTATAGATTTTCTTCATTGTTGACGACAATAAAAGTGTGTTTTTTAATTTGAGCCGATCACCAGTCAGTTAGAACAATTTATTGTCCCAATTCTTACCCAAGACGGATTTTAATGTGGCTACAAATGTGTTATTATGATGCCGTTTTCCTTAAATAAAAGTTCCGTTACCAGTTTTTTTTATCTTCTAGCGCTGCAATATAACCATCCCCAAAACTACTGTGCAGTTCTCAACTGAAATGAGGGGAAAGTATCGTAGGGAATTGGATCTTTCCTTCATGCGGAGCAACACTAAGTCACACCGACATATTACAGGTGATGGATTATTTAATTGGCACAGAAGAGACTCGGAGAGAGAGACTCTTTTCAACAACGAATTTATCATCAAGCTGTACAGTTGTATATATAGATGGTTGTTTTTTAAGAAATTATACTCGGAGTTCCACGTACAAGAAGTTGACAAGCCCCATATAGGTCGAAAGGGACGTATTAACATATGCGTAAAACGTGAGCCCTCTGGTGGTGGTAGTAAGTAATTCCATATTAGTTTGTTTATTGGATGTATCACCACACAGTCAGTGAATGAAACAGTATTACTGTTTAATGGATGATACAGTTTCAAACAAAAAATTTATTATAGCAAAAATTTTCATTCAGATATCTATGAAACACAAAATAATCGAGCAAAGAATATCCCCTTTTCGATAAATTCCTCTTCTGGCCGGCAGGCCGGCCACAAAGACAGCCAGCTAGACACCGTGAAAGAATCCTACCTCCCCTATCATCATCATCATCATCATCCACCGGGTGCTTAATAAATTGACAAAATCGTCATCGAAGCATGCTCTGAATGCTCCTCCAAACACCACAGGCTATTGTAATTCGCCTCAAACAACCAGTGAGTGCTCTGTGTGTGTGTGTATGTGTGGAGAAGAAGCAAGTCCAACCAGCTAGCCAGCTAGCCAGCCCCTACTACTGCCCTAATCGGCCTTCAGTGGGTGGAGACTATGCATTCATGAATTTGTAATATTATCTTTCCTAATTTCTCTGTCTGACATTCAGTTTGTAGTGTTATGTTGATGCTATTGAACTGTAATCCACTATTGGTATCATTATCATTATTATTATTATTGATTCGATGTTATTTAAACAGCAACATGAATGTTGTTGTTCATAACACTAATTCATTCATTCATTCATTCATTGACTATAATGGATGGATATATAACCGTAGAGCCTGATGAGGATGATGATGAAGGGGTCATCGAAAAGAGGATTTATTCTTTGTTCAGTATCTCTATCGATTCTTTTGAAAACAATTTAAAGAGGCATTTTTAATCACTATTTCATTCTTCAACCCACCAGGTTCTTGTGTGATGTAAACTGGTGACAAATCGGTAAATGAACAAACAGAACAACAGTTAGATTGTTCAGAATACAAAGTAGATTTCTGGATCTTAACTACCAGACTAACTATCTAAGTTTCTGCGCAACACATTTCGAACAATCTGATCACACACGGACTTGTCATAGGAATATATATATATATATATATATATATATATATATATATATATAGGGTAGCTTTATGTACACGTCTTTCTTAGGGGAGAGTTGGAGAGTGGGTCTTGGTGTTCTGACTACTTTATATCTCCTGATGAACTTGTCTGGATAATTGTTATCAACCAGAGTTTGCGTCAATATTCTTTCTTCTTCATCAAGCGTGTCTTCAGTGCATATTCGTCGGATTCTACTGAAGAGGCACCTTACTAAGCCTCTTTTGTACCGAATAGGGCAGAAACTGTGGTAATTAAGATACTGTCCTGTCCAGGTAGGTTTTCTATAAATAGATCTTTTTATTGACCCATCAAGCCGTCGACTAAGCAGTATGTCTAGGAAAGATAAACAATTATCTTCCTCTTCTACAGATGTAAGTGATATGCTATTCTGAACTTCATTCATTCGATGTAAAATTGAGGTGGCGGAACAAGACTTATCACTGATGACTACGATATCATTTACATACCTTCTATAAAGTGGCACATTTTCGATTAAATCTTCCGATAAATTCTCAATGTACGACATATAAATATCTGCTAAAATGGGCCCTAACGGACTGCCCATAGCAACACCATCAACCTATGGGATAGATAGCCAATATCACTGTTTGATTGCAGAAGCAGTGCAATGATGCAAAGGCTTGCAAAACATAATCCCAACAAAGATCAAAACCAAGCAAGATTTAGATATGTTACATAGACGACATTTTTGTAATAATCAAAAGAAACGAGTTAGATAAAACTCAATCAACTTAATAAACAACGTCTTCAACGACATCAGATTCACAAGACAAGAAGAATCCGAGATTCCGAAATTCCAATTTTTAGACGTCTTAGTCTCAGCGAACAACCACAGGGGAATTAGAAACTCAAGTTTATAAAAAAGTCAACTCACACACACACACCAAATACTCAATGTCAACAACAGCAACAATCCAATAACACACACACACATACAAAAGGAATTGCATACAGATACTATTCAAGAGGGTCAGCCAGTCATGATTCATTGCAGCACTCCCAATCTTAAGGAAAATTGAAGAAAAATATCTCAGACGAAATCTTCCAAAGGAATGGATATATCCACAGAATTTCATCAGAAAAGACATATACCCCCCCCGCCACTCCCGCCTAAGCCAACCTATCAAATCGGAAGTCCTCAAGGTAAGCACAAAGAAAATCGCCTTACCATATATACATATATGAAGGACATCTCAGAAATCACTCACTACAAGACTCTTCAAACCATGATGAGGAACTGACGTCGCAAACAAACGGAAAAAATCTATTGAACCAGAAAAAAAAAACGACTCACAACAACGAACCTATTCACTCAATCTTTCAAGTCCTTAAAAAAATTTTTAAGGATGAAATAAACAAAGAAAACAAAAAACAATAGGAAAGAAAAATTTTCATCCCCTCTTCTAGCCTGTATCCTTTTTTTATCGATTAGACAAGGAGAGAAATTATTATTGTTATTATTATTATCATTCCTTAACCCTGAGTTACTCTCTCTCTCTCCCTCTCTTATCTCCTGCTCACTGACTGACTGCCTGTCTTCCTCCTCATCCTCGTTAGTCGGTTAAATTTTTAAATGTGTCAGGCCACTGGGAAATTATTGATTTTTTGGTTAGATTGAGGTAACAAAAGGATGGATGAAATCATAGCAATGACCTTGAACAACAATCTTTATTTTGATTGGTCAATTTTATTTTTCTTTTTTTTGAACAAGTCCACTTCTCATCATGATGTATTGACTCGAATTGAGGCCGAATCGCAGAGAATATTGATTTCTCATTACTGTGTGTGTGTGTGTGTAAAATCGCCTCTTTTTTACTCACTTCTGCATTTAAACAACTAACTATCGAATTTTTAAAATCTAAACATCATAATTCTCATTCATATAAACATTCGGATAATATATATATATATATATTTACCGTAACAAAAAACTTCGAAGTTTGAAAAACAAACATGAGTTTTGGAAATTTTTTACGGCGTATCTCGTTTGATAGTGAAAAAATTCACACAGATTCACCAACTTCATCAGAGGGTAACGAGACATCTGGTATGAATGCCTTTTTCACGTCACCGAGTAAAATTTTTGAAAGTGTTAATGCAAAAACTGGTCATCTTGTATCAGATTTAAATCAAAAATTGGACATAAGTGGAAAACTTGATTCGATTAAGCAAGCCTCCGTTGGTACACTGGAACAAGTTGTACGTGGATCATCATCAGTTGTAGTTAATCGTTCGGATAGTAAAGATGTACCGCAGAGGGAAGAAATCATCGCCGGTGAAAACGCCGTCAAACCATCAGATATTGATTCACCCTCGTTCTACAATAAATCTAAGGCAGATTTCGATGTAGCGCATTCAACGAAATCAACATCTCAATTTTCACCGGCTCATCAGTCTCAGACATCGTCATCAACTGCTGCTGGTGGTGGTAGTAGTAGTAGTGGATTAAGACGACAAAGTACACAGAACACTCCTCGTCCACCAAGACCACCACCGCCAAGTTCTGCAGCACTGAGTAGAGCAATGAGTTTAGATGAAAACAACCTTTCTGCACAAATGAAGACAATTCGGAAGGGACAACCAACTGATGAACAATCTGATGATTCTCATAGAATGAAATATTCAGGAAAAGATCGTCTACTGTCGAGTAAAGCAATTGAAGAGTCATGCATACTACAGCAACCTGATGCACTAGTTATTGAAGAGGAAGAGAACAGCTCTGCTTCAGAATACGGTGAGAATGGTGATCAGCCAATTTATAGACCAGAATCCGAATTGCCGATCCCTGCAGATAAACAAACTAGCATTTCAATAAGTCATGCCAAGTCACCGGCATCATCATCAAAAAGTGCAGCAGTTAGAGACGAGGAGCAGAAGGAGACATCATCATCTGCCTATCGTTTGACTTCAACAGAGCCTAGTGGAACGAATATAGAAGAAATTCAAGAATTTATGGAATTATATGCTTCAGCGCTAATTATCGGACGGTAAGTAATACAAGTGTGTACAACATTAAATTGATTTAATATAATTTATAAAAAAAGGGATTAACTTGTCGTCGAAATATACGGTGGAGCCACAACATACTGAGTTTGTAAAATGTTGCTCAGTGTGGGTGTGTGTGTGTGAAAATCCTCATTTTTCAGATAATGGAAAACACCCATATGGGTGGGCATAGAAGGAGGAAGACAACACGAAGAGAACAGGAAAGATGGCGGATGATGTTTTCGGCGACTGCTATTTTCAAAAGTAGCTGTACAATCGCATCTGAAATACATAATTTTACTTACATGGATGCAATACAATTCTTGTTTGTCTTGTTCCACATAGTGACAACGGCGAACAAAAGGTGACACTTACTATTTTCAACTAGATAGATGGTTGACGAGGAAGGGCAGGATTAGAAATACAGGATTACACAGGATTAGAACGGATAACTAGGGTGTGTATAAAATGAGCGAGCCTAGAAACAAACCTGAAATGACAGTAACAATTTTCAACTTGAAATGGGAGTTAGTAGGTGCGAATCATATGGATTACAAGAGCCTTAGAAGCACAAAAATTTCACAGGATTAAGATGTTATTGTAAAATAGTTATTTTTTCTTGTTAAAATTTATAATTCGTTTAAAATAACTATGTGTGGAGGTCAACAGCACTCAGTATCAAAAATAAAATCCGGATTTTCAACTCCAATGTGAAGTCAGTCAGTGCTACTCACTATACGGATCAGAGACTTGGCGAGTCATAAAGAGCATCTCCAACAAACTTCAGACCTTCATTAACAGTTGTCTTCGCTCAATAGTCAAGATCAGATCGCCGGCCAGAAAAGATCAGCAACAGGGACCTCTGGCAATGAACGAACCAACACAGCAGGAACCGATTGTGAAACAAATAGGCAGGAAGAAGTGGAGATGGATTGGCCATACTCTGAGGAAACCATCAAGTGACTGGCATCACTAGACAAGCCCTCGAGTGGAACCCGAAAGGGAAGTGGCGAGTTGGTCGTTAGTGCAAGGGTGACTTGGAGGAGGTCATGTGAGGAGGAGGAGATGAAAGCATGTGGACAGACCTGGAGCAGGGTGAAGAAGTTGTCAGAAAACCGAAGGCAATGGAGGTGCGCAGCTGAAGCCCTATGTTCCTCTAAGAACTAAAGGATAAAATAATAATATAATAATAATAATAGCTATTTTACATTTATACCTAAATCCTGTGAAATTTTTTGTTTCTATGCATCTTGTAATCTAGATTTACACCTCCTAAATTCCATTTCAAGGTAAAATTATTTCAATTTTTGTTTCCATGCTCGCTCATTTGTACATCCTGGTTATCCGTTCTAATCCTGTGTAATCCTGTATTTCTAATCCTGCCCTTCCTCGTCAACCATCTATCTAGTTGAAAATAATTATCACCTTTTGTTCGCCGTCGTAATTATGTATCCATGTAAGTAAAATTATGTATTTCAGATGCGATTGTACAGCTAATTTTGAAAATAGCCAATCGTCGAAAAGATCGTCCGCCATCTTTCCTGTTCTCTTCATGTTCTCTTCTTTCTTAAATTCTCATTGTCTAACATAATGGCGTCGGTGGTACAACGGTTAGGAATCTCGCCGACCATGCAGGAGTTCGATCCCCTGCCGACGCACACCTGATATTTATGGTCGACCTGCAAAATATGGGCTACCGATATCCATGCTGAAAATTCCACAACTGTACCACAAAAATACGCTGTGCAATCAAGCTCTAACCAAAAATTCAAAAAAAAATCAGTTTCGGGAGGTGACCGACAGAAATCGTGTGCTATATATATATTCAAAAGCAACATTTATTTATATACATTTTTTCTATAGTTTGGTTTCTAAGGGTTAGTTATGTTTTGCTTTTAGAAGTGTTGATCACGGATTGATATCAGTTAGAGAACCGTTGAAAATCAACTACAGGGAGTAAGGGACAGCTGTTTTATCAGTCAGCCTAGTTTGGGGATCATCATCGCCAGTATCCACCCACTGCACCGGGGTTGAAATCCAGGACCTTCCGGTTACAAGGCAAGCTAACTGGCTCGTATGCCGTTCAGGCACTCATTGGGACCCGATTCCTCAATGGCCAGCCATTTCATGAATTCTAACTTCTCAATATATGAAAACATGCGAAAAACGACAGATTTCTTCCACGTGACATTGAACAGAATGTTTCCGACTCCTGGATCATATTGTTCTGTTAACTGATCACTTTGTAGTTGTGACTAGCAGATGTTACTGACCAGTGTTTATTATTGATTATCATTTCTTTTGGTTCCTAGAGGAACATAGGGCTTCTTCAGCCTCGCACGTCTCTATTGCGTTCGGTTCTCTACTAACGATTTCACCTGGCTCCACGTCTGTCCACATGATTTCATCATCTCCTCTTCTCATGACCTCCTTCTTCCTCTTCTTTAAGTCACTTCACCCTCACACTAACGATCAACTCACCACTTCCCATTCGGACGGGTTCCACTCGAGCAATGGCTTGTCTAGTGATGTCATTCAATTGATGGTTTGTTTTCTCAGAGGATGGCCACAATCCAATCCATCTCCATTTCTTCCTGCTTATATGTTGCACAATCGGTTCCTGCTATGTTGGTTGTTTCACTCATTGCCAGAGATCTCTTCTTGTCAGTGATCTTTTCTGGTCGGCTGGCCATCAGATCTTGAGTGATATTGAGCAAAAGTGTGTAGTTTGTTTGTGATGCTCTTTATGGCACACTAGCCAAGTCTCTGATCCGTATGATGAGTAGCACTGACTGACTTCACATTGGAGTTGAAAATTCGGATCATATTTTCATTTTCATGCTGAGTAGTGTTATTGATCTGTCTCTTCACACAGACAGTAATGGAGTAATGGAGGCTTCTCTTGCTTTCTCGAACCTTGTTTTGATATTACTCCATTATAGATAAGTTTTTATCTTGATAAATCACACACAGTGTTGTACAGTCATATTAACTGATGCGACCGCGTTTCGAGCACAAACTATTGCCACTCACAATCATATCAAATAACTCACACAACTTTTTGTGTGTGAATTGTTGTTGTGTGAGTGAGTGACTTGATATGATTATGAGTGGTAATAGTTTGTGCTCGAAACGTGGTCGCATCAGTTAACATGACTGTACAACACTGTGTGTGATTTATCAAGATAAAATCTAATCTATAATGGAGTTATACTCTACCAAAGTGCCCACGTTTTATACTTATATCAATTGTTTTGATATTCTCGTCAGTTTCGTCAGCCTGTAGTTGAAACGATGCTTCCCAGGTAGGTAGATGCGTAGGTGAAGGAGTTTGTTTCTTCCAGGTTCCTCCCATTTATGCAGGCTGATTGTTATCTGTTGTTGTTGTTGTTGTTGTGGCTGTTGGTGTCGGCCAGGAATCTTCATCACCTACCTCTGCTTTCACTATGTTCACCTGAAGGAAGTCTTATCTTCTCTGGATGCTTCTTCTACCGCCAACTTGTTGCTGCTTTTCACTTGTATATCTTCCAGTTTGTGGGAAATCAGACGTATACAGGTCATCGGCGAAGTCCAGATCCTTCAAGTCCTTTTTTTATCTTGGTCCATTTTATGCCTGTTTCCTTGCTGCGCATCGCTCTCTGTCTGTCTGTCTGTCAGTCACATTCATCTTTGTCTAACGCTTTCTATGTTGGTTCACAACTTTTTCATACGTCGTCTTATTTGAAACATAGTCCTTCTGTCGATTGTTCAAGGTTTTTGCACACGATATCACGCAATATGGTACTAAAACATTTTTATGAGTAGGAGATGGCAAGATAATAATGCCGAATATTTGACTTGGCAGGGTGCGAGTGAATTACAAATTCAAGGATTTCATTCATCATGAGGTGACATCACTTAGGGAACCACTGGAAAATATGCAAGGTGTACTCGACAGCCAGTTGTTTCGTCAGCCTAGTTTGAGACTCTTCCTTGAGTACGTACCTACCGTCAATCTTCGAATCCAGAACCTTCTGGTAACAAGAAGTTAGAATTCAAGGACCACTGAATCAAGTCCCAGTGGCTCAATAGTCTACGAGTTAGCCTGCTAGGCTTGTAACCAGAAGGTTCTATGGTTCGAACCCTGTCAGTGGGGTGGGTGTGTACTGACGAAGAGTCCCAAACTAGGACGAAACAGCTGTTCAGTACTCCTTGCATGTTTTCCAAGGGTTCTCTAACTAATGTCAGCTCATGACGAATGAATTTCTCCATGCAGTTAAATTACAAATTCAACCAATATCGGAATGTTTAGCGATTATGGGTCTAGTTTCCTTATATTCATGAAGTATTTCCGAAGGATTCATGACTGACATGTTTTAATAGTTAAATTCATATCATTGGCGATGTTAAACAATTAGCTCCACATCTAAGCATTTAATAAAAGAATTTATTAGTTAGATGATGATTAGCAGTGAAATCCAGTCCAGGATAACGCGCATTTCGTCCTATTTGGGACTCGTCAATTGGCTAGATGTGCCTGCATTTCCCAGTGTGTGTGATGAAACTATGGGCACTGGGTTCGAGCCTTGGTAGGATCACCATCACTCAGGTTCATTGTGTTTCTCTCTCTCTCTCACACACACTGTAATTAATACTTGATAAGTAAAAGAAGAAATTCAAATTGTGTCTACCAATTCAACTGCAACTGTGCTTGTGTTTGTGGAGCGAGTTATATTGACCATTGTTGCTCTAGGAACTTGATTTCTCGAGCTCACTCGCTCTAGAATAACTCCCAGTATGAATGGCTAAGTGAAGGTGTGTACTGAAAACCATCATGAACAGTTTGATGCTGGACCATCTGGTGCAAACCGGTCGGCCGGCCACAAAGCCAGCCAGCTAGACACCGTGGAAGAATCCTACCTCCCCTATCATCATCATCATCATCCACCGGGTGCTTAATAAATTGACAAAATCGTCATCGAAGCATGCTCTGAATGCTCCTCCAAACACCACAGGCTATTGTAATTCGCCTCAAACAACCAGTGAGTGCTCTGTGTGTGTGTATGTGTGGAGAAGAAGCAAGTCCAACCAGCTAGCCAGCTAGTCAGCCCCTACTACTGCCCTAATCGGCCTTCAGTGGGTGGAGACTATGCATTCATGAATTTGTAATATTATCCTTCCTAATTTCTCCCTGTCTGACATTCAGTTTGTAGTGTTATGTTGATGCTATTGAACTGTAATCCACTATTGGTATCATTATCATTATTATTATTATTGATTCGATGTTATTTAAACAGCAACATGAATGTTGTTGTTCATAACACTAATTCATTCATTCATTCATTCATTGACTATAATGGATGGATATATAACCGTAGAGCCTGATGAGGATGATGATGAAAGGGTTATCGAAAAGAGGATTTATTCTTTGTTCAGTACATTTATCGATTCTTTTGAAAACAATCTTAATAATTTATAATCGCTACAATATCTTCACATATTTCATTTTATTTTATTTGTTCATTTATAGCTCTGACTATATAAAGAACAAGGAGATTGAATTACAAGAGTTATTAACTGTAAGTTTTGATATTATTATTATTTATTTTGATTACTTGGTCTTCTATATATTCGCATTGTGTACTTTCTGTTTTAGAAATTTAGGCGGAACTCTACTTTCCCTCTCTCTCTCTCTCTCACTTTCTTTCTAGTGTAAAGATGACATTTATGAGGTGAAAAATGGAGTTATTTCTATATTTTTAGGGCGTTCTCTTCAAAGTGTACAAAAATGTAAATAATTTTAATTACAAAAATACACAATACAGCTGTGCATGACAAAACAATGATTCTCATTTCTTAGTAACCGACATTATTGATTATGATGATTTAATGATACAATCATTGACTCCTCAAGAATATTCTGTAGTTTTGCATGAAGGATTTCATTCCTTATAAGCTGACTTCAGTTAGAGACACACTGGAAAACCTGCAAGGAGTACTGAACAGCCAGCTGTTATTTTCAACCTAGTTTGGGCGCCCGCTATACAGCAGTACGCACCCACCGCCAATGTTCAAATCCAGGACCTTCTGGTTACAGGGCAACCGGTTGTATTCAAACAAAATCCCTACAAAATCAATACTTGAAATAAGAAATTAATCTGATGCTCATTGGCAACTGGTCTTACTTAGGTAGTTAATCTCGGGTTCTAGTGGGAAACCGTGCGTGACCAGTAGAGGGTACAGCAGGTTGAAGATGAGGCAGTAACTCACTCATCGGGGAAGAAGACACTTAGAAATGGTCGCGCTATATCGTGCGTGATTTGGCAGAAGTTAGAAGAAATCATGGGCTGACTGGCAATTGGATCGGGTCCCAGTAGGTCAATGGTCTACTAGCTAGCTGTCTGTCCAGTACTCCTTGCAGGTTTTTCAGTGGTTCTCTAACTGATGTCAGCTCATGATGAATGAAATCCTCCATGCGATCAAAAGAAATCCCTAAAATAAACCAATACTTGAATATTCTGTTGTGTTCGGTGATCGGAGGTAGGCAATCCTGCAAGAAGAAGCCTTGAACCTAGGGTTTCCTGCTTATTGGCAGTCGTCTTCAAAGGGGTGTATCTGCAGTATCAGTGGTAGGAATAATAATGCCTCCGGAACCGGTATCATTCAATAATTGCACTGTAAGATGGAACTACTACAGAATTATCCGGCCTATTGAATAAGACACCTACTAGGTTCAGGGTTGTTTTGTCGATAATCTCCAACCAGATTAAAATAATTGAAAACCAGGAAGTACTGGACAGCTGTTTCATCAGCCTAGTTTGAGAATCACCAGCGGTACACATCCACACGGTGTGAAATGAGTCACCTGAAGAAATAATCCAGTTTCACCGGGATGTTGTTGTTGGTGTCCAGCAGTTGTGTTGGTAGTGGTGGTGGTGGTGGTGGTGAAACTTACTTCACCCTAGTTATTATAGACAAGCACCCCTTGAGAATTTGTGCTAATACTACTACTCATGTAATGTTCTGGAAGTGCACTACACACAATTAAGTAATACTTGTAGAGGACATTCAACGGAGTTAAAATTACTTCACAGGCTATATAATATTCAATATTTGGAAATAATTGAGCAAATAGGATAGGCCAACGGCATGATTGTTGCAAGCGGATTAACATTTCACACCCCATTGAGTCTTGGCTGCTGCATCTTGCACAGGAGATAAGATTAGCGGAAGATGTCGTTTAGACGGATGCCAAAATGGTCGATGGATTTTTGCTGTTTGCATTAACCGCGTTAGGCCTAAACACAGTCGAAGATGTTCTAGACAATCCGATAACACAGTACGCCAACGAACATCACCGTGTGCCAGGTTACGTAGACTTCTTGATTGAATCGATGAAATACGATCACATCTTTTACACTGAGGGTTATGAATCATAATATTATGTGTTTATGAGCAGATAATGCTACCAACCAGCCAGCCAGTTGACCACGGTGACGCAGGTGGTCCAGCGGTATCCAAACCTAATATATGGCGCAAAGGGACCTACTATTAGCCAGTGTTTTTTGAACATGGGTAAAGTTTAACAATAGCGTCCCAGGAGTGAGAATGCGCGAGTGACCTACAGCTGACAAATCATAAATAATATGTGGAATTTTTGCACGAAAAATGATTGTATAATGACAGGAAAATGCTCAGAAAAACACATTAAACTGGTTATCACTTTTCTCTGACATCATGACTTGAAAATGTCTATCAGTTGGTAAGTTAGACTAGATTCTGTGTATGATGTATTCACCATGGTGACTGGAGATGGGCTGTGTTTTTGTGGATTCTTTTTATCTCTCTCTCTTTTATTGGTTTGCAGTCCTCCCCGAAGCTTTCAGTTGAATGAATTACTAGGATTTCCATTAGGAAGATCAAGGACTACTTACTTACCAGGAAAGTGTGTGTGTGGAGAATAAAACAAATTAAAATAAATGAGACATCAACTCTAAATCTATACATAGTTGGTAACCCTAACCGTAGCGAGCTATTAACACATATTGTCCAAACAGTACTTAAAAAACCTTGATCTAGGGTGAATAGTGTTGATATTTCAGATAGGAGAATGACAGGTGCCTTGCAGCAAAACGACTAGCATGCGTTAAAGGTCATTGGAGAGAGAGAGAGAGAGTTCACACTCCTGGGACGGACGCTATTGTTGAATTTATTCTTATTTTATTTTAATCGGCAGTTTAATTGAGGTTAAGCAATAAGAAAGATATATATATCTCACGTGATTGAAAGAGGTGAAAGATGACAATTTCAGTAAACCGAAGTCAATCAATCATTAAAAACTATCTGTTTTAGTAGGATGAATTTTTGGAAAATAAACTGAGGAAGTACGTGCACAGTGGGCACTTACATTAAAATGACAAAAATGTGGAAAGCCTAACCTAACAAAACCAGAGATAGAAGCCCTGAAGCACCTTAAGAATAACCAGGACGTAGTAATCACAAAGTCAGACAAAGGAAACGCAACAGCAGTATTAGATAAATCAGACTATTTGGACAAGGGAAATACGCACATACAAACAGGACTATATGAAGAAATTAATAAATCAATAGACACAGTCATGAATAAAGTTAAGAAATCCACAGCGCACCTTATACGGCGAATGAAGCCATTCCTAGGTAAGTCTAAATGGTTTAATTTAATGCCCAAAACTAATAACCCCAGTAGGATGTATGGTGTTGTCAAAGTTCATAAATCAGGATACCCTATTAGGCCTACAGTTGATTTTAGAAATTCGCCTACCTATGAATTGTCTAAATATTTAGGCATGGTATTAAATCCTCTAAAAAGCCACTCGAAATCTAGACTAACTAACTAATTCTTTTGAACTAAAACACAGATTAGATAATTTAAAATTAGATAATGAAGAAAAAATGGTTAGTTTTGACATTGTCAGTTTACATACACGTATACCAATAAATATGGCTTTAAAGGCAGTCAGAAACCTATTCATTTCCTACCAAGAACTCGAACTTAGGACGAAAGTGCCACTCGAAGACATAATGCTGGGAGTGCAGCTATCCCTGACTTCCACAGTATTTAAATTCCAAAGGAAAATATACAAACGAACTGAGGGAGTTGCCATGGGATCGCCAATATCCCCAGTTGTAGTAGATATATTCATGGGTAGTTGGGAAAACATAGCGATTGAAACGTTCACCCCAACCCCAAAAGTATGGTGGAGGTAGTATGTAGATGACACATTCACTGTACTTAGAACACAAGATATAGATAGATTTTTCGAACACATCAACTCGAAGGTAGAGGCAATTCAATTCACTTATGAATTGGAAAGTCAGGAAGGGGAACTTCCAATGTTAGATTACAACGTAGAAAGGAAAGAAGATGGGTAGCTAAACACTAGTGTTTACAGAAAACCCACACATTCAAACAGATATTTGGATTTCCGATCATCCCATCCTATGTCATTAAAAATAGGATTGATAAAATGTTTAACTGACAGAGCACAAAAACTAAGTAGTACAAAGGAAAATCTAAGACAGGAAGTGAGGTATATAAGAGAAGCCTTGAAACTTAATAATTACCTGGACAAATTAGTCAGTGAATATGTAAGTAAATGTAAAAATAAAATAAATAATGATAATAGTGATAGTGATAATATTGATAATATTAATGACGACACCAACAATAAGGAATGTAAATCATCAACAGTAATTCCATACAAGGAAGGAACCTCGGAAGCCTTACGCAGAATTCTAAACAATTCAGGCTGGAATAAAGGTGACTGGCATTCAAACCAACCACAAACTCAATTAGAATCAAGCTTTGTTGGTTAAAGGATCAATCCTGACAGTGGAGACTTTAACCGACAAAACAATTTAGTTTATCTAGTACCCTGCCTGAGATGATTGTCAGGTCAAATACATAGGTGGGTCAAAGTAGTAGAACAGAGACAGTCAGACTAGCCGAACATAAACAAGTAGCTAAATCTAGATTGGTTGACCCAAATAAGATAAGAAATCTAGAAAATAGTTCAGCTATAGCACTACATGCAGTGACACACAACCATACAATAGGCTAGATGGGATAGGATGACAGTTTTAAAATCTAATGTCACAGGGCGGAGGGAGGGAGAGATTGATAACAGAAGCTTTGTTTATCGAATCAACTGCAAATCAACACGTGTAATAGGAATGATTCAACACCTGTCCAACCGGATATCTGGATAATTCTACTACCCCAATGATGACGACAAATAGGAGAAAACAAAGAAAACTATAGAACTCAAATCTCAAAGTCGTGTGACCAAAATTGATATGATTATGAACATCAATTATAAATTGTGTTCGAAACCTCGTCATCCAGTATACAATACTGTTTCACTCATTGTGTGATATATCTAATAAACAAACTAATATGGAATAAACTCAGAGTGGAAGAATGAAGGCAGGCATGCTGGAATAACAACACTGTGTTGTGTTATACACAAAGCACGTATGGCAGGACCACCGTAGATGACTTATATTCTCTCTTATTTATGTTTTCATTACTAGTTTCACA